CTCCACCTCTCATGCATACATAATGTTAAATAAGTGTAAATTCTCTGTATTTGGAAAACAGTTAGGACAATAAACATGGAATTAGTTTATTGTATTGCAGTCTAAAATTATTTTTTACATTTGTATCTGGTGACAAATTGACAGACTTATGGTGTATGTGGTAAATGTATAAAAGTGAAATTACGTTAAGATTTACAAGCAATAGAAGCGACCGAAAAAGACCCAAATCACAGCATTAAGTGCAGTCATCCTTTAGCTACTGACCGAGAATTAAACGATTTCATTATCTGTTTCCAACAAGTACTTCGTAAGCAACATCATCTAGTGCCTGTTACAGGTGGATAGCTTTAAAATCTGGTACCTGTTAGAGGTAGGTAGCTTTAAGATCCTGTACATGTTAGAGGTAGGTAGCTTTATAATCTAGTACCTGCTACAGGTAGGTAGCTTTAAAATCTGGTACCTGTTACAGATCGGTAGCTTTACAATCTGGTACCTGTTACAGGTAGGTAGCTTTATAATCTGGTACCTGTTACAGGTAGGTAGCTATATAATCTGGTACCTGCTACAGGTAGGTAGCTTTAAAATGTGGTACCTTCTTCAGATCGGTAGCTTTACAATCTGGTACCTGTTACAGGTAGGTAGCTTTATAATCTGGTACCCGTTACATTTAGGTAGCTTTATAATCTGGTACCTGTTAGAGGTAGGTAGCTATCATTTTGTACAATACAACTGTCTCTCACTTTGTTTGTTTTCTGTAAGTTTAAAATCATATTTAATTCAAATTCAGTTTTTCTTTGAATTCTTGATGTTTTCATATTTTTTTATTTATAGTTGAATGCAAGAGGAGTTGATTGCTGTTATTCTTTAAAACAATCTCATTTTTTTAAAGTGCAAAATTTTGATTAACTTTAATGATTCAAAATGCATTTGAATTATTTGAAAAATCCAGCATCGTCGCAAAACCACGGCAAAAATGTATAGACTTCGGACAGTAATGGCTCGAGGCGATGGTAATCCAGCTACAGTAACTGCGCATAAAAGTTTGAATTGATGAGGGAATAAAATAAATAGCTATCGCTTGATCCTTATGTCGCGGATTCGAATCCCACTGTTGGACGTGGAGACCTGTCCTTTGGATGAGAACAAATAAACCGAGGTCCCGTGACGCAGTAGGTGCTGGCACGAAAAAGATTCATCACTGCTCAATGGCCCTCAGTGCCAAGGTCAAAAATTGCAGCTATCCACCGGCAAATGATGGCGTCTCCGTATGAGTGAAAAATTCTCGAGGTTAAACAACAGACAAACAAACTTATCATTACATTATTCTGTGCATTTACAAGCACTCTTCGCCATTAATGTATAGAAAGATATGAAATAAATCAATTTCCTTTTATTTTTGCTTGTCAAGTTTTTTTTTCTGGTCTACGCGTATAAGTTGATTTTTTTTTTCTGGTTGCCCCCTTTCAAAAGCAATGCTACGTCACTGGGCCGGAGTCTTTGTGTGTGTTTAGATATCTGGTCTATTGGTCTGGGAATTGTAACTCCCCATTGACCCAGCCAGGTCTGTGTTCTCTAGGAATGTAAATTAAAAACTTAGTAGGCAGTAGGCACAACAATACAGAAATTCCTTTAGAAGCAAAAAATAAATAAATAAATAAATAATAATAATAACAATTAATGATTAAATATAAATAAATAATTAAACGTCCGTAGACTTTTTTGAGGGGGGGGGGGCACAGCTCCGTAAAAAGCCTTTTTAAATTCAATAACTACCCCCCCCCCCCTGGAGTTTCTGCGAAAGCTACTCAACATGAGTATATGCTCCCAAGATCACCAGTGAGATAACAATACTTTTTTCTCTCTTATTTATTACGTTTTGCATATTTGTCTTATTGATAAACATTAACAGTTTCATAGAAACGATGTAGGTGGAACTTTTGAATGAGGGTAGGAATTTATGTATGTCACCGTTGTAACGCGAGATAACTCGTACGCACTCATGGAGAGACAACTCCTGTCCGCCAACCTGCAAGCGGTACCAGATAGCCTCAACCGATTCATACACATGACTGACCTTTCGCCAGTTAAGTACGATTGATTGCCCATTTATCATGATCAAAAGGATCTTGCGATAATCAAATTACACATTTATGCAAAAAAATACACTTCACAGGTAAAATGTTCAAGCACTTGTGCCCAGCAAAATGTTCTAAATAAATGTGTCATAGTAGAGTAAAGTTTTAAAGAAATAACTATTTTGAACCATTGTTTACTGTAATTGTAATGGTATTTAAGGCTTGTCTTCGTAAATGCTGTATTGCAATCTTCATCCCATAAAAAAATATCTGTTTGACTCATATAGTTTGTATAATGGTAATGCTATGTATGAGAAAATTTTCAAAAAAAAAGTCTATCATATGTGCACAAAAGCTATTAATTTATTAAACTTCGAACATCCTTTACGTTAACGTTACAGGCTATGAGCCACTTTTTTTTTTTTGGTTTTAGTGCATGTAATTACTCCTATCACTGAAAAGTGTCTTAGAGAAGGACTTGTTTTAGAGTAAAATTTTCTTATGGTTCTTTTTCAAATCAGCTGTATTTATGTCTTACAACATGCTTGAAATTGTCTTAATGTTCATGAAAGATCTTTAAATATAATGACATACTATAACAACATGAGACCAACTTTTCAACAAATAATGGATACCAATTTTTTCATTAACTTTTATAAAGTTCATACATAATTCAATGCCAATTTTGAATTTGCTAAAAACTACGAGGGTTGTCTGGTAAAATCATGGATAAGTTGTCTAGGGTGAAAAATAATCATCATTGCATTCAAAAGTTTTCTCTATTTTTAAGTACATTTTTTCATCCATATACATAGCAAATATCAAATAGTTACAGCTGTATATGCTCAATTTTTTCTAAAATGAAATTTTATGTTATGTGTGGTATTGCCTTACGGCGCGTAGATGATAACGTAAAAGTGTGTAAAGCAGTGTCACGTTTCCACATTGCTAAAATAACGTTGGATAAGGCCCACTTAAATGCGGAAATTTCATTGATGCACATACTTGAGTTTCCCTTTATTCCTCCTTAAACAGCCGAGGAACCAATCTTGCACACACATAGGACCTTCTGAAGATTTATTAGTAAGTTAAGGACAGTACTCTCACTATCATTCAACTAAAAAGGCTATTTTATATCGACGGTCTACAGTACCAGCGTCTTTCGATATTGCCAGTAGCTGTTTGCTGCATGTTTTGTTCTACCCGGGGACTCGATCAAAAAGCTTCCTTTTAGAAAACTCCCATTTCACTTATATACTAAAGGTCTAGTGATATTCTTAATTTTTTTCGTAGCCATTAAAAATCTCCTAGGGCGTCATTACTAGATCTAAAGCAAACTTATTGATCTCTGGTGCGCCATTACGTCATCAAACGTCGCCATTTTTCTGTGTTGTGTTTACCACTTTCCCACTTCAAATACTCGGGAAACTGACAAAACGTAATCAAAAACCTTGAAATTTTCAAGAAACGACATAATGGATAGTGGATTAAATACTTTTATTTGAAATAAATCTCTAATGGAACCCTGGTTTTTTTATTATGCGCCGTAGGACCATACCCTGTGCACATTCAAGCATAATAAAATCTTTATTTTTGTCTATATTTTATCCAAAAAACTCAGATGCACTTAAATATAATAAATAAACATTTGCTGAAAATATCAACTTAGTGCGCACATAATTTTCGATTAAAATCTTTTGTCCAGGATTTTATCGGACAACACCCATATATCCGATTGTAAATACTGTTTTTTTGTTTTATCACCATGGTTAATGTCCTCCTGCCAATCCCCACACTTTTTTGCTCCAGACAAGCATCCTCCAGGAGGGATAATATATATCTTTAATTTTGACATCATTCAAGTTTCTATAGTTTCTTCAAAACTAAATTGTTTCATCCTTCCAAATAAGGACTATTAGAACGCCGTTGGACTGATTCGAAATATCTATATAATATATCAATCTTTCCTAACGCGTTATTTATCTCACTTCAGCTAGTTTGGTCAGAGAAAAACGTTGGGGGTTGTTTAGTAGGTGGTAAATTTCACTGAATGTTTAACTAAATTTCTCTTTTTTTCTGAGTACTAGTAACTGCTTGACTGTGATGATACATTTTTGTCACATATATTCCGACTTTGGTTATTTAATATCTTTTCCTTCAACTATGGCCACGTTATGGAATACCTTGCATTAACAAGAATTACCTTTCGAAGACATTCCAATCATACAATGTTACCAAGTTATTTTTCAAAAGATCTCAATAAAAGCACGTCCATTAACCAAAATTTTAAACCTTTCAATAACCTTTTCTAAAGGTAATTGTAAAGTCAATTTTATCAATGTGAGTTTTGTTATTCGAATTTTTGTTACAGGACGATTTGTGTAAATAACAATGCTATATGATAAAATTGATGACTTCAACTTTTCAATCGTTAACATCCCTTACTTATATAGCAATATACTTTTATCACCTGCATAAAAGGTTAATATCTTTCAATACGATTCGATACGCAAGTGCATGATGATGAAAAGGAATTTCAACAGTCTCGTTTAAAGTCATCAATTCGCTAGTTCTATCATGATCGATACAATGAACTTGTCATCAAGTACAATCTATCATTAAGTCGAATGCTGACTGATGTTTGTCATGCTACCTGTAATTGTTAGCTTTTGTTTACACACTGAAAATAACTGTCTACGGATTTTTTCGTTTTTTCCGATCATGACAAGGAGCACATGGCGGGTGTGCTCGGTTGGCAGGGGATGCTCACTCCTCCATGGCACCTGATCCCTGTCTGAGGTCTGTGTTTGCTATGCTCCGGATTTGTATTGTTTGAACGGACCTATGAGCTTGATACTGATCGTTATCTCCAAATTTTATTGACATATTTATCAAGACAACTTTAACCCCTTTAGTATACAAAAATATATCATGAATTGTTTAATATATACGTACAAAAACAAATAAAATGTACATCAGTAAATCTTGATTTGTTGTCATTTGTGAATATTTAATCTCCCCACAATTCATGGAAAGATTCCATTCAATGATTTTGAACAGCATACATGATTATCTGATTATCACCTGCAACTAGCATTCTATTTTTAAATACAGAAATGCACCTCGGTGCTGTCTGCCACATCCCAATGTCACAAATTGACAAACACAATCCATTTACATCAAACACTGAAATAGAATTGTTTAGAAAGTCTGCAATAAACATATTTCCTACACTGTCGCAACTGATTGACCCCGGACGATGTAAAATTTTTCTAACAATTTTTCCACTATTGTTTATGAGAAAAACACAGTTTCTATCAAAATCAGAAACTGCAAAAGTATTATTTGGAAGATAGCACGCATATGTGGGTGTTCCAAATGCCTTCACTTCTTCTCTGTCGTCAGAAATTGGTATCATTTTTGTTTGATTTCCATTTATTTTTGTAAATATCTTGTCTCTTGTCATCCACATAGACGCATTATCATTTGGCGAAGTACAAACTATGGTTGATACTCCATCGTGCTGTTCTTGAATTTCTAGCTGTCTGTTCATTATAAACATTTGGGAATCAATTTGTGTTCTGCAGAGAAAACCATTGAGGTTTGAAGATATCGAAAGAACTCGGGGAAACTTGATCGATTTTCGACTATTCGATGACAGGGTTAAACTCTTTACCTTTTCGTTTTCCTTGTCAATAGCTACAACACGGCCATCTGGAGTCCAGGTCACACTGGAGTAAACTGGCGTATATTTGTCGTCATTATCACTGAAATTTAATTTTTTTATCAAATTAAGAATACTTTTTTTCTTAACATTTTTCAAGTTATCGCTTATGCCTCTCTTGTCTGTAATCAGTGAACTTGAAGCCGAATGATCCCTCAGCAGTCCTGCATTGTTTTCATTCGTTTCGCTTCTGTTTGTAGTGAACAGCTGTGATGCACGTTTTGTTTTAATTTCTAGTGACAATATGTCTGTTTGTTCAAAGGAAGGATCAAGTAGTTGAGTCTTTTTCCACAACAATTTAAAATGGGGGATATCTAAATTTAGGCATTCAGATGTCTTTGTGCAAGTTGATTCGTTTAGATTTAGTACACGGTCATAAATTTCATCCAGAATATTGAGGATTTCAAAATCACTTCCTCCCTTTGAAATGTTAGCTGAAAACGTTAGTGATTCCTCAATACTTTTACAATGCTTTTCAATATTTTGGAATGCGTTGTGCAAAGGATCTTTCTGTAATTTCATCTTATTTCTGATGTCTTCCGTCAATTTTGTTTGAGATCTTCGTAAACTCTCGATTGCCTCTGAAAATCTTTCTTCAATTTCCCGGACGATTACATTTTCATTTGCTTCGCAACTATTTATTTCTACTGATAAAACTGCACTAGACTTTTGCAGATCCTCTAGCTTTTTCTTAAGCGGATCGATAATTTCATTGATTTTTTGTTCCTTTTCTTTACGAAGATCCGCGATGGGTTTAAATCCATGCTCTCTGTGCTTATATATAAGACAGTCACGGCAAACAGGTGCTTGACATGAGGTACACAAGAAAAGCAAAATTTCATCTGTATGACTAGAACATCTTGTCTTCTGAGCTAACCTAATTTCGTTATCGTGTTTTCCTGTTTTGATGTCTTTCATGGAAACAACTTGATGATTTCTCGTCTGACGCGTGAAAGAGTGACGCATTTTTGCACATTCTTCACAAAGATAATCCAGACAAGTTAGACACTGGAAAAGGGCGGGACGATTTTCATCCAATAGTTTACAGAATGAACAAAAAAGTTCATCAGATTTTTTAACTAAATCAATCATATTTGTCAAGCAAAAATTTGTTTTTATTTCATCAACTTCCAATGCAAAGTTTTCCCTGCAAACTGGGCAATGATAAGGTGGTTTTAATTCATTAGTTTTAATAAAACCACTAATGCAAAATTTACAGAAAGAATGCAAGCAGGGTAGCGTTTTTGGTTCGCTAAAAACCTCATAACAAATTGTACACGTAAGAAAATCGTCCTTTAAAGTCGAAGAAAGTGACTCCATTTTCATCTGAAAAAAACAAAGTTGTCTATATTACTAACGGTTGAAATATGAAGAAAACTCATAGTGATCGAGCTCAAAAATCTTTGAAAAAATTCAGATTGGGAGCAGAGCAAAGAAAAACATCAGAGATTGGATCAGGTGCCAAGGAAGAGTAAGTATCCCCTGTAGACCGTTTACACCCGCTGAGTGCTCCATGTCATAAGCGGGCAAACGAAAAAATCCCTAGACAATTCAGTGTGGAAATAATGGCCTAACAATTTGAATGAAATATATTTTACAAGTTAAAATATTTAAATGTAACTGTTTGTAATATTACAATTACATAGGAAAAATTAAATCTTGTATTACATGTATGCACATATAGGAAAATGTATCAATTTTGAAATAAATTCGGAGAATACATTTGATAAAAGAAATAAAAAAAAGAATTTTCTTACATTTACTCTTAAATCTCCTACCCTTTTAGACCCTATTTTACAGGTCTGTGTTTGTTCTGCTCACAATTTGTATTATTTTTGTTGACTTTGAGCGTGATTACTGATCGTTTTATCACATTGTTTAGTTTAAGTTTGATTTAATTAAGCTATATGTCGTATTTTAAAAAGCGTAAGATACATGCAACTTGTGATGATTAAGTCAAAAGGTTTTCATTAAAAATAAGTTTACAAAACGTAAGGAGTTAGGCAATTTATTAAATTACCTGGATTCAGATTATTTGATGAACTTTACATTTGTATACAGATGTGTATTATTTGATTGCTTGCTCATTGAAAAGGTAATTTTCTTGAGAAGATATCAATTTTTTTTAATTACATCACATAAAGAACTGACTCCATAACTGTGGAGCTACAATGTATGCTCGACCCAAAAATAAAAAAAAGAATGACTCCGCATAGAGACACATACATGTACCTTCATACCTGTTAAATGATCTTTTTTCTTGTACTGAAAACAAGACAATTGCAATATTTAAAGTTTTCCTTGCACATTTCTATGTTAAACATGACCATTAGTAACTTCTTATGGCTGCTCTACAGTTCCTAGTCATAGAAGACTGCAAAACATAGACAAGGTTTTAGCGCTCTCATGAATATGATACACATTAAAGAATCCATAGAAGTATGAAATAAAACAAAATAACCCGAGAGATGGAATGTGTTGCCCCAAAGAAAAATAGGATGATTAGGGATTAACAAATATATGGCCTAGTACTCAATGCTTATCATGATCATGTACCTGGTCTGAGTGATAAAAATATACAAGGGAAGAGAAAAAGCTTTTTAAAGAATTTTTACATTTTAACTATATGAGCAATAAAGCCCCATCCGTACCCAAAAACCCCTGATCCTGGGGCCATGAATTTGGTAATTTTAGTAGAAGGATTAATTCTTATTACAATCAAGCAAACAGTTTGACTACTTGATGACCCGTAGTAATGAAGAGAAATTTTGGTTGTATAAGTCCCAGTTTTAGGCACGGAAAAGGGGGAGAGAAATTTTCAAATTTTGTTCCTCTTTGTCCATAGATGTTTTTTGCCAGAATTGAAAATGAAGTTGAGAGTTGAAATTGGCTATGTGGTTATGTGGTTCAAGAGAAAAATTGAACAATGTTAAAATGTTTACGACCGACAAAGGACCTTCGTTTAATCTATGTTCTGTAAAAATGACCTTGCTGGCAACTACAATCTTTCGTTAGGTCAAATGTTGGCTGATGTTATTAATGCATTAATTTTACTGTTTTATTTCACACTGAATTTTCTATCGATTTCTCCCTTTGCCTTATCATGACAAGGGGCACATTAAGGGTTTGACTGATGTTGCTTAATCTTTGAAATTTTAAGTATAAAAGTTCCTATAGCTGTACTATAGCGAACCAAAGCTTCATAATATTCGCTATATAATAAATCAAATTAGAGTGTATGTGCTATGCAAAGATAGTAATCTTGAATTTACTTTACTAATCTATAATGACGTTTTTAATGTTTTGTTAGAGTGTAAGGTGAGATTGCCGAAAGCACAATTTCTCACTGGGTTTTATCGGCTTTCTTCAACATTTTGTCGATGTCTGTTGTGAAATGGTTGATATAATTATTAGAAAATGATTTAAAATACTTATATGTGGTTTAAAAAAATGTATACTTACCAGTAAGACGTAAGAATTGTTCTAAATATACCAACAAACGTTTTTGATTCAATAAAAAATGGCGTCTTTCCTAAAGTAAGCCAAACGAGGAAAATATTTGATATTTGAATAGATAGTGACGTATTTTATAACAGGCGTCCCAAGGTAACTTGCGCACTTATCCGTTCAAGAAGACACGGCATTTAAATTCAGTAATGTAAACATGAATTTTAAAGATAACCATTTTGTACAATGACGTGCTGTAATATTTGACTTTTGTAAATACATTCTATTCAACTACTGTAAAATCATTACATTTGTGGGTTAAAATTCTTATAGTTTGAGGAAAAATATGGGTTAATATGAATTGAATTTCCTGGTTGAAAGGCAAAAAAAAAAAAATTACTTTGGCTGAAAATTAGAACATTTCGTGGGAAACAAGAGTTCACGAGTCTCTTTATTCCACAAAATAAATGAAAACTAAATCCCCACGAATGTAATTGATTTCACAGTATTGTTTTGTTGGTCAGTTTGATATTATTTACATGTACCTAAGGTTTACGGTATCTTTCACCTATTCCTAATTTGCTCTATTTAGGCCATTAATGTGATTTAAAGCTAAACACGCTTCGTAAAAAGGATCTGTCCGCCATATTCGATTGGACTCTCGCTATATCTGAGGGCCCCTATATATAGAGCCACTCACTTAGTCACTGTTCAGTGTAATCAGTTGTCACCGGTCTAGACGGACGTCTGTGCTATACAGCACTCGGTAGCAACAAAAATAACTGTACTTATAATGCAGGAGAGAAAGGTACCAGAGAGACGTACAACAGTTGCACAGGACAGTGCAGTATAACAAACACAAATACTCGTAACTGCAATAAATTGTAAACAAATGTAATGCAAGATAACCATCACGAGCACGGGTCGCCATTCCACGCCGATACCCGTGACAATAAGGCAGTCAGTTGTAACGAATGCGAAGAGTATACCCCGGTGCTGATATCGTAGATAGTAATATGGCGTATGCCTATTTACGAGTCGTGTTCAGCTATAACTACCTGATGAGTACAGTATTTTACAAAAGCCCAAAAATAATAAACAGACAAACAGTAAGTGTTTGACTATACGATTCAACTATTCAATCATTCATTCTTTGAATCAAACAAAGTATTTAACTCTTTCAGCAATTGTTTGATCAAATGTAGATAACAAAAAAAATGTTATGCCCCCTTAGAAAGGTCGGGGGCAGGTGAGTATAATTTTTCAGATCTATACATGGTATCATCTTGGATGTTTTCGAACTATTTTTGGTCAGATGTAATATCAAATGTTATCTTCCCCTGGAACGTCTCGTTTAAGTTAAATAACTTACGATTTCTACAAGCCTGGATCGGAGCCAATCAGCAATCTAGAAATAGTTGAATTATATGGTGATATGTATTTAAGCAGGATGCTTAAGACACTGGAAGTATATGTATAGTATCATAATATACTCCTTGTAGGGGTAAATTATTGTATTGACCTCAAACAACAATCATTGTCTAGTTTTGATTAAGTACACCTCTCTAAAAACTGAATCAATGGACAATTACAATAATAGACAATAACCAAAAATTATTCAAAGTATCAGAACACTGTTGTCTGGAATATTGTACGTTGCAAATTAATTTCTATCGCATTTTAATACCCTTGAAATCTTGTAAAAAGGTATCTAATATCGATGTCATTACTGCATTCAAAAAGCAGATATTGATTTAAGATATATGAAATATATGGAGATAACGAACAGTATTCAAGCTCAAAAGTCCATTAATCAATACAAAATAGGAGCAGAGCAAACACGGACCTCCAAACATCAGAGGTGGGATCAGGTGCCATGGAGGAGTGAGCATCCCCTGCCGACAGGTCACACCCGCCGTGTGCTCCTTGTCATGATCGGGAAATAACGGAAAAATCCGTCGACAATTCAGTGTGTAAATAATGGCCTAACAATCAGTGTGAAAAATGTCAGTCAGCATTTGACTCAATGATAAATTGTATTTGCTGACAAGGTCATTGTATCGACCATAGAACTTACGAAATGATGACTTTAAACGAGACAGCTGATATTCTTGTTTCATCAACTTATTTGTCAATAATTTACCTCGTTTTAGAAATTGTACATACGTAGAGCATGCTCTTGCGTATCGAATCAACTGAGAGATATATACCCCGTATGCAGGTGATGAAGGTATATTGCTGCATAAGTAAGGGAAGTTGACGATTGAAAAGTTAAAGTCATCACGTTTATCATAAAGCTTGGTTGTTAGATTACCATTAACGTCTTTTTCAAGTAAAATATCCAAATATGAAACAGATGTGTCAGACTCTGTGGTATCTTTTATCTCAAGTTCACAAGGATATATCGTATCGACATAAGAATGGAAATAGCCATGATTGTTAATTGACAATACGTCGTCGATATATCTAAATGTCGAGTTGAAGGCCACAGCAAGTGTTTTCTACTTTTCACGTACAAGATTTTGGACAAATTCTGCTTCATATGAATACAAAAAAAGGTCTGCTAATAACGGGGCGCAATTGGTACCCATGGGAATTCCAATAGATTGTTGGAAGACCTGGTCTCCAAAAACCACATAGATATTGTCAATCAGAAACTCAAGCATCTTTTTAATGTCAACTTCATATATATATATATATATATATATATATATATATATATATATATATATATATATATATATATATATATATATATATATATATATATATATATGTATATATGGTATTCGGATAATCTATACTTAATACAGTCTGTACAACATGTAGTAATGAATACGTGTAATTATTTTGAAGATTCATGATTGACTAATAGATGCAATACTTGTACAACATTAATAGCAAACTGTATCACAAGAGGTCATCAGTGAATATTTTAAGAATCAAAGTACAACATTATTCTTTTTTAGCATTTATCAATATTTTGACATTCCAAAAATTTTATGAACACTTTAAGGTTTATTAGTGTGTTTAATTTTTAAATTTTTATTACAAATTTTCGACGAAAATAAGAATGTTGCGTAAAATAATATTCTTAATGGGTTAATATTTAGACTCACTGTTTCAAATTTCTTATACTAGAACACATAGGTAAACTAATAAGAAGTCACCATGAAATGTTATTGAAGATAAGAAGAGCATAAGAGGAAAAATGCCATGCATCCGTGTTATATGAATTTGATATGATGATTAACAGTAAAATGAATGCATTAAAGCTGGAAAGGAATATAACTTGCATGCCAATTCTGTTTGATTAATTCATAAATTATCCAATTGACTGATTAATTAATTAATGCGATAGCTACGTGTATCAAAATTTAAAATTCAAGTACGTATTATATTTTAACAAAAAGTGGAGATAAAGAACAGTGAGCGATCTAAAAAAAATCTTCAAACAAACAAATTTGTGAACATAGTATACATTGTTAACCAGACCCCCGGAAATTCCAGAGGTAGGAACAAACGCCTCGGAGGAGTATGCATCCCCTGTCGAGCAGACCAGCCATGAGCCCTACGTATTGCACAGTTAGACGTAACATTCCAGAAAGTATTGCAATCTTATAATAGTTTCGTTGAGATAAAAAATAATCCTTGGAGTACAAATTACATGTATGACTTATGACCATTTTGCGCTTAAAAATTACAAAATTAAACATGAGCAGAGCATTCAACGTTGTAATGTCCTTTTAAAAGAATTTGTATGAATATTATATTACAATTGTTATACATGTATCTTCCATATTGTATATCTAGAAAAACACGGCTACACATTCCATTTTAAATTTTTCATGAAATTTTTAATTATCACCCCTGAAAAGAAGACTTTGTCCTTCATTTGAACAAACTTGAATCCCCTTTCCAAAGGATACATTGTGGCAAGTTTGGTTGAAATTGGCCCAGTGATTTTTGGAAGAGGATGAATATGTAAAAAGTTTACAACGACAACAGGCAACGGACAAATTTGGATCAGAAAAGCTCACTCGAGCCTTCGGCTCAGGTGAGCGAAAAAATAAAAGAAGAGTGCGGTGGTAGACAGGTTGGCGGATCAATTTCCTGCAATTTTTATGCCCCAGTAAACGAAGATTCGGGGGCATATAGTTTCTGCCCTGTCCGTCTAGCTGTTTGTCTGTCTAGCTGTCTGTCTGTCTATCTAGCTGTCTGTCTGTTTGTCCACAAAAACTTTAACCTTGCCCATAACTTTTGATTGGTTGCAGCTATAGCTTTCATATTTCACATGTGTATTTCTTGTGACAAGATCTTTCTTTGGGTACCATCATATTTGACCTTTTGACCTTGGAGTTTGACCCACTTTTGCAAAATTTTATGAGACTTTGACCTTGGCCATAACTTTTGAACAGTTGGAGCGTAGGCTTTCAAGCTTCACATGTGTATTTCTTGTGGCAAGGCATTCCTTTGAGTACCAACATCTTTGACCCTTTGACCTTAACATTGGAGTTTGACCTACTGTTGATAAAACATTAACCCTTGCCATTACTTTTGAACAGTTTGTGCTAGGTCTTTCATGATTCACATGTGTACTCCTTAATAGAATATCTTTCTTTGGATACCAACAACTCTGACCTTTTGACCTTGACCTTGGAGTTTGACCTTCTTCAATTTTTTTTTTAAATTTTAACCTTGACCATAACTTTTGAACAGTTAATGCAAGGGTTTTCATAGTTCACATATGCATTTCCTGTGGGAAGACCTTTCTTTAGGTACTAACAACTTTGACCCTTTGACCTTGACTTTGGACTCTGACCTACTTTTGAAAAACTTTAACCTTGGCCAAAACTTTTGAACAGTTGGTGTTAGGTCTTTCATACTTCGCATATGCATTCTTTGTGACAAGACGTTTCTTTTAGATACAAATAACTTTGACTCTTTAACCTTGAACATGGAGTTTGACCTACTTTTTAAAAACTTTAACCTTGCCCATAACTTTTGAACAGTTGGTGTCAGGGCTTTCATACTTCACACGTATATTCCTTGTGACAAGACCTT